GGTAGAATATTGGGTCGAGGACGAGGTGCTACTTGCCCATCTAATCCATTCTGAATAGCTTGTGAAAGGCGAATTTCATCCACCTAAATGATGGATATCATAAACTAGACAACAACCTTCCGCAAAACGCTCGGAACTAATGAATATCATAAAAACTTCCAAGTTTTTCCTAAACAACATATTTACGTCATGCTTGTAATCACCTTCGACACAAGTTTTCCCACCGATTTTTTCTCAGAACCTGCTTCTTGGCCATTACTGCGTCGTGCTTTTTGAACAACACTGTTCTGTGACATGGACCAGCAGAATTTTTGCATCGATACCTATGAAAATTGATCAGATGTTCAGATGATAAATTCAAAACAAATGTTAGTATAAAGTTGAGGAAATTTTTTTAAAAAAACATAATCACTAAAAACTAACGAGAAATTCTTGTTGTGGTCCTATAACGCTCCCAGGCCTGCATATCCGCAACCATGCCATGCACTCGGCTGCGTTCAAACCAAACTCCTTCATCATCCAGCAAGCAATCAAAGTTCCAGTCCTTCCGAGACCTGTGCATAACGAATACAGGCCTTCTTAATGGATGGATAGAAAAACGGTGAACCTGCTTTGCAGTGGACTGCAACTCCTCCTTTGGCATTGTCGACAACGCGGATAAATTTTTCTACAATATCTTCAGAAGGCGTACTTCCGTCGATGAAAAATAGGTCCACATGTTGAAACCCGGCATCTGTGAACCTACAATATCTTGTGATAATTTTTAACAAATAAAACAGCAAGATAAACAGCATCGACTTAAAGAATGACGCGGAAAGTTGATTCAACCTGAAATAAGACTAAAAAGAGAAGGCAAAATAAGAAGGCAAAATTAGAACAAACTTTTTAGCATCATACATCCTCATGTTCAATCGAACAATTGTTGTAATTTTTGAGTTACGAAAATAGTCAAAGTAGGTCTCTGGTGAGTGGTACGGATATCCTAGAACGTGGTTCAAATGAAAATTATTGCTTAAATATTGGCGAGAAAACGTATCTTTCTGGACTAACCATCTTCTATTCGCGACTCATTGTGAGGACCACAAAAACTCAAAATCTTCCCGGGAATAATCCAGTTCATATCGCCATTTTCCACGCGCTCGTACAACTCGTACTCTTCCGCATCGAAAGTGTTGATGTCAAACCATTTATGGTAAAGACCCTGATAGACGAGAGTGGTGTTTAAAAGGAAAAAACAATGCGATAATTAGGAATAATGTAGACCTTTTCAACGGCCCTAAGAACATCATGCAGATGCAGCAGATAGGTCGGCTCGCCCAAGGCAGCATCTCGAAAACCAATGAACTTCGGAGGTTGAGCTGCTTCTAGGCGTAGGTAGGCAGCATCGGCTGTCATTCCATGATAAATTATCTGGGAGGAAGAATAGGCAGAATATGAAAAAGCATGATTATTGAGCACCTAGCGACGAAGCAAGAGAGAAAATAGCCTACCAAGTAAGATGCCAAGATATATGCACCATTGACACGATTCCTTTCATCGCTATCGGTGTACACAACGATTTTTCGCTTGCGCTGCGACTAAAACATGAGTAAGATACCTTGATGCGAGGCGTAAAAGATGTATGAAGCGGATATTCGCGCGTCTAAATGATTTATAGCGGAAACCGCAACTGCTTCCTGGGAAAGCAGATAAAACATACTCAAAAAAGTAGAAATTGCATTGTGAAGAAATGACCAGTTTTCGAAAAATTCAAAAGTTTTCACGAGCAAAACAAGTGAAATGTATCTAATATCACAAACTTCTATCAAGCCATGAAGGTACCGAGTAAATCTGTACAACACAGAAAGATTCAACGGGCCGAAATCTCCGTAGAATGGTTCGTAGTGGACCTGAAAGAAGGTTTATACTATTCATTAAAACCCTGTTCCGCAATCCCAGCCTCAGAATTTCAAAATTTGAGATTTCGCTGAAATCTTGCCCAGAAACTTATTTGACATGCCAACCACGAATACCATATCAATCCCCGCGCCATGGTCATGTGTGGGGTTACGACAGTAGACGGCAGAGTTTAAAACCAGGAGCCGCCTCAAAAGTAGTCGATTATCTAGCATGCTACTTACAAATACCATAACCCAAACGTTTCGGTCAAATGTAGGAGGACTGCAGGAGGTCAAAATCACCGATTATCCTAAAAGCTGCCTAAATGAGTTTTCAAAACCTGATATCAATGGAATGCCCTTCCGGTCGTATTGAGGAACGGTGGGTAGACGGTAGCAAGTCAGTATTAAGAAGCTGCCTAAGAAATGATTCAATGAAATACTTGACGTTCTACCCATATGAATACGGTGCACCTTTTGTACTGACAACCATAGTTTCTCTAGCTTCACTATGATCGAGGATTCTTTCTGATCAAAGCCTTAGGCCAACATGGGGAAGTTGTTTTTCACCATGATTGTACTGAGATTTGAATAACAAGTTACAATACGAAAGCAGCGTGATAAACAACCTCACTGGAGTTGCAAACGTGATACGAACATCTACACGATAGAGTGGGATTTGCTCACTTTTCCTCCTTCCCCTTCACCAAGGCGAAGTGGAACAGTAGCGATTCCTTTGGGAAAGTAAAAAACGTTTTGTATGCCTATTTGCAGGGATAAAGTGGCAGATTTGCGAAGGACGATGATAAATACCATTTCAATACTATCAGCATCATAACAATGTTGTACATAAACGAATTATGCCTAAATAAATCAAATTTACAGAAGGGTTACATAAAAGAATGAATATGACCAGAGCTGTATATTAAAGACCTTTCTAAACATATCTTTTGGGTTCGAAATCTTACTAATGTAATTTCAATCTGTATTATATGTCAAAAGAGGAGATTTCCTCTTTCTAATGCATACTCTTAATTGTGAGATTACAATAGAAAGAGGAAAATCTCCTTTTTCAATTGATATGCAACATGTAGTTTTTAACTTCGATATGCGGGAATATTGAGAACTGTGTGTAAGTCAGGCTTCGCCACTCAGTTGCCTCGCGCATTATACCTCCTCTATTGGCAGCCACCGTAAAGACGGAGGTTTGCGAGGATGTTAGCAACACTAGGGCAACCTACTCAATAAAATGGCAAAACTCCAGAATGATGACTAGAGGGGATCCAGGCTTCCGATTGAACCGCATCTCCTGGATAAAACTTACTTCTTTTTATGAAAAAAAAAAGAGCGGAAGATTTTTCTGAAGCAGCGTCTTAAGAAAAAACTTCCGCTTTAAAACGTATTC